GGTTGTCCTCCATCTACTTGGCCCACAGATGAAGGAGTCCCAAGCTGACCCACGATGGATATGGAGCAATAAGAGAGAAATAAGTGCCCGATGTAGTGGCCCACACCTGTGATCCCAGCTCTTTGGGAGGTCAAGGCGAGAGGATCGCTTGAGCCCAGGAGTTTGAGACCAACCTGGGCAACATAGCAAGACTCTGTCTCTACAAAAAGAAATTAGCCGGCATAGTGGTGCACACCTATAGTCCCAGTTACTTATGAGGCTGAGGTGGGAGGATCGTTTGAACCCAGAAGTTCAAGGTTATAGTGAGCTATGATCACACCACTGCACTCCAGCCTGGACGACAGAGAGAAACCCTGTCTAAATGTTATTTATTATGACATATATTTTCTTAAAAAGGGAACCATATCACTTTTGTAAAGGAAGAAAAACACCATGACATCGTTAATATTCATATAGTCATCATTAATATCCAAAATATTCTGTCCTGTACCACCCAGGTCATCTGGTATACCGTCTGGGTCAGAAAGTGCCATCCAAGTGCCTCCCTCTAAGAGGCTGGATGAGAGTTGCAGGTCTGGAGACCCCCAGCTAACCTCCCTCAAGCCAGCTCCGGGTTCCGTCCCTGCCAGCCTGAGCTCCAGCAGCTAGGCATGCGCTTGCAGCTGAGGCTACCTTCACGAGTGTGCAGCGGCACCGGCCCGCGGCAGCTCTTACCTCGGCAGACGGTGCCATTCTCCACGGCCTCAAAGCCCGCTTTGCACATGCAGCGCCCGATGGGCACCAGCCACTCGCCATCTCCGTTACAGTACAGCTTGATGGGCACGTCCACCTCCTCGGCATTGGCGATGCAACTGCCCCGGGCAGCCACCAGCGACGTGCTCTCGGCCCCCGACAGCGTCTCCTGGAAGATGGCACCGTTCTGGATGACGCGGGGGCACTTGCGGTAGAAGACACGCACGGCAATGAGGGACATGCAGCCGCCATAGTCCTGGAAGGCCAGATAGAAGCCGCTGCGGGACACGGGCCCAAAGCTGCGCACCTCGGTGTTGATCTTCATGACCCGGCCGCCCAGGTCCACCTGGGAGAAGCTCTCGTCAGCCGCGATGGTGTCCACCTTCACCCAGGGGTTCTCCATCCAGTTGGGGAAGGTCTTGGTGGCTGAGTCAAAGTCGGCCTCGTAGTAGTAGAGGTTGAAGGTCTCCTTGCAGGAACCGGGCACACTGGGGATGCTGCTGCAGTCACGCACAGAGAACTTCATCTCCACATGGATGCGGTGGGCGCCGCGGCGCCGGATGAACTTGGTCCGCAGCCAGTTGTTCTGGCTTGGCTCAAACACGTTGCACACCTGGTACGTGCGGATCGTGTTCATGTTCTCATTGTAGCCACTCACCTCTTCCCACTGTGGGCAAAATGCGAGTCAGGTGGGGGAGGTGAGAGCTCGGCCCCAGCCAACGTGTCTAAGGGGGGAGGCACAGCCTCTGCCTCGGGGAATCCTCTAGTCTGACGATGAAGACATCAGAGCATTCCCAGTCTGATGGGGGAGACATGGCCTTGGCCCTGAGGCACTCCCCAGTCTAAAGGGTGGCATCCCAGTCTCACAGAAAGGCACATGTATCACCTGCTCTTGGTACCCCCTAGTTGACATAGCAGGGGTTCGAGAATCTGGTAAAGTAGACATGAACCCTGACCCCTAGAAGGGCCCACCTGGAAGGGAAGGGAAGGAGACTCCTGTTCTTAGCTCCTTCCGATGAAAGGGGCCATAGCTTTGTGCTGCAGTGCAACCAGTCCAAGGGGGGAGGCGGAACTTCTGCCCTCTGGGAGCTCTCTGTCTGACCAGGGAGACACAGGCCTTGTCTCTGGGGACTCTTAGTCTGACGGAGGAAGTCAGCCCTCACCCTCGTTGAACTTCGTGGGTGATGGAAAGACAGGGCCCTTCTCCAGAAGAGCAGCTCTGCTCCAGGGCTCTCAGCTGCTAAGATGTCTCCAGTACAACCGGCCCTGCCACACTGGACCCCAGCACGAGCCCTCACACACCCAGTGGAGAGTGCTAGACCTCATGGCTGGAGGGGGCCGAGAGGGGCCCAGTAAGCACCGCACCCTCCCAGGGCCAAGTGCTCCCTGGCTGGGACCCTGCATACTTTGGGTCCTCCTGGTACCCTCCCGTCTTCCCTGCAGCACACCCCACCACCGCCTGCTGTCTGCATTTACCAACTTGCCAAGAAGTATGATGACACAAGCCGGAGGGGGAGGCTTCTTGTGTTTTAGGGACCCAGAGAGGGGGCAGAAAAGACTGGGTCAGAGCGCTGAATACAATCTCCTCGGCGAGTGCTAGGCACACTGCTGAGGGTGCCACCCAGCCTGTTCTTCTGCTGTGTCCCCCTTGGTGTTGGCTGACTCACCTGGGGTAGACCCAGAGAAGCCCCAACTGCAGAGTCTCCCCTGCCCCCTATACCAGACCTGGGGCTGGGTGTGAATCTGGGCTAACAGAATCTCATTTCTTTGTCATGACTGTCACACACGGTACGTATGGATATGCCCATTTTACAGGTGAGGGAGTAGAGACCACAGAAGTGAAGCCATTCCACCCAGGTCACACCTGTTCATGAGCTTGCCCATACTACCTCAAAACACAAGGGCCCCACAGTGCCCCGGGAGTCCTGGGTCTTAGTCCCAGCTCTGCTAACTTGATGTGTGGCCTTGGGCAGGTCACTTACCCTCTCTGGACCTCTATTTCTCCAATTGCCAAAGGTGACTGTGGGGCGTGCTGGGAGAGGTGTCTCCCTCAAGGGGGTGGCTTTTGTCCTGTTGCTGCTCAGATGCTCCTCTGAGCTAGTAGTGCGTGTGGAGCCAGGCTGCGTGGGGGTATGTGCGTGCACGGGGGGTGGGGGTGCCCATGGAGTGGGGGTTGGGTACATGAGGCGGAGGGTGAGTGCGGGAAGGCAGGGCTGCAGCTTGTTGGCTCAGTCTCTTCAATGGCGACTCTGAAGCTCCCTACATTGCATTAAAACGATTTTTTTTTGGTGGCACCATGTGACAAAGTCAGCCCCTTGTTACAACCGCTGCTCTTCTTCAGAACTTAATTAGAACACTTAATTAGAGCACTCTGCCTTTCTCCCCTCTCTCTAATTAACATGCGGAGGCCCTGCAGCCTAAACACCCCAAATAATTGCGTCCGGGGCCCTGCAGCCCAGCCTGGCCTCATTACTGGGACTCAGCCGCCTTCGCAGATGGAACACCGGTGACAAGAAAGAGCCACAGAAAGAGGCCTGACCCTGGGGCCCTGCCTATTGAGAGCACAGGCCTGGGGGGTGGGGGGATGCGGTCCCTGGGGCAGAGGCTGAGTCCCAGTGGAGGACTTGGGGTGGAGAAGGGAAGGATGGCCTGTGGAGTCCAGAGCCTTCTCCGGAGACCACAGTGATGAGGTGAATATTAAAATGGGTGATGAGGACAATGAGCTTATCACAGCTTCTGTTTCCTGGGAGCCCAGTCTATGCCAGGCACTGTGTTAGACCCTTTGCAGGAAAACCTTGCACCAGCCCTGGGAGGAAGACATTATTGTCACATTTTCTAGATGAGGAAACTGAAGCTCAGAGAGACTAAGGGACCGGCCCCAAAACACACAGCGGGTGAGTGGTGGGGCTGAGACAGAATTTCAGGAATGTTGGCCCCCACCACCTGCAAATAGTGTCAGATCTTGCTCTCGAGGAACTCACGGCACAGACATGGGCTCAGACCACTGACCCAAGGAAGTGATGATATGAGCCCAGGGAGGGGGAGCCTTGGGTCACAGGGTCCCAGAAAGGGGGCAGAGGGGACTCGGTCATAGCCCTGATTACAAACCTGAGCCCCCTCACTTACTATCTATAGGGTCTTGAGCAGGTGGTTACACCTCTCTGAGCTTCAGTTTCCTCATCTGTAAAATGGAGGTAATTCCTCTCCATAGAACTGGGGGTGATGTGTCTAAAGGTGCTTAACACAATGTCTGACACAGAATGGGTACTCGGGAGATGATGGTTCACTGTCTTCATCTGTAGAAGAGGGGTTGTGGGAGCACCTACTTCTCAGCCTCGCCCTTAGGATTTCGGGGGATAAAGGCTAAAAGCATCCAGCCCGTTGTCATGGTAACTGGTGCTCCGTCAGTGGTAGGGGGCTGGAGGGTGGGATGGTGAGAGGCCCTGATCTGGGCCCTGAAGGTGGAAAAAGGGTTGGAATGTGAGGGGGCATTCAGGCCCTGCAGCACAGCCCGAGGGATCCCGGGGACCACTGCAGGTTTGTGGACCACTGACTCACCCCTGATGGAGGATGCACCATCCAGCCCAGCTCAGCCGTCGCTGTCGTGGAGTCCATTAGCGTTTCTGTGGGAAGAGTAAATTATCATGGCCCTGTCTCGCCTACCAGGCACTGTCAATCACTCTGTCCCAACCCTCGTGGTCCTTTACAGTCCTGCCTACTTCCATTGCCCCACCCAATCATCTGGCTCGAATTCTCCAACCTGCCTCGCCCCCTTTAGGTCCCACCTCTTCACTCCATGATCCCACCTACTCCCACAGCCTAGCCAATCATCTGACATCATTCCTCTAGGTCCCGCCCCTCTAGGGCAACTCCAGCCCTCCCATCATGGTCAGGCCCCACTCACGCAGCCAGTCCCGTTGCACTAACCTAGGCACTGTCCTTTCCCTCCTTTTCTGGGGTCTACTGGATGGGGTTTCTGAGGGTCCACCACTAAACCCTCAATATTCCACATCAGACTTTGGGTATCTGTTGGCTTTTCAGCTTGCATTAAATTGCCAAAAACTGGCACATGGACTTTTGCGGGGCCGCTTTTATGTCCCAGCTGAGCCCCTGCAGTTCCCCTGCCACCCATCCCTCTGGCCCTCACATCCTGTCAGGATACTCTCCCCCCTTCTCTAGAAACCTGGAGTCCTCCATTGTGTCCCCATCCGCCTCCCCCAGGGCTCAGCCAACTCTACCCCCAGGAGGAGGCCTGGGTGAAGGGTTGTTGAGCACAAGCACTGTACCCAGTGGGGACCAGTTGTCACATGCCCTCTGGGGCTCAGGAGACTCAGATCAGCTTCTGAGCCATCCCAGACTCTGGTTGCCTCCCCTCGACTCCAGCAGCTGGAGGGAATGAGCCACTGGCCTGGGAGTAAGGAGACCCATAGGGTCCCAGAGATTGCCAGTCACCCCAGGTCAGGCTCAGGACCCCTCCCCTCCACCCCTTCCCTGCCACTGGGGCTTCAAAATACTTTACAAACTGAATTGCAATGCACTGAATGGATTTAAATGAGTAAATTCAAGCATTCATTCAACAGATATATCCTGATGTACCAGGTACCCCAAGAGAGAAAACAGTGAATAACAAGACTCTACAATGGAGCAGTCCACATACTGGTAGCAGAGATGAAGTGTGAAGACAAGCACTTAAAAGAGCAGGTGGAGAAACCTAGGAGGCACAGCGGGACCTTCCACACCACCTCGCTCAGCCAGCGCAGAGGACAGGCACACTTGCTGCTATGCTCCAGTTCTGTGCCCAGGGCAGACATCATTAATCAATCCACCCGCTCTGTGGCCACATGATGCTTCTCACCCCAGCGTCCCAGGAAACAAATATCAACCCTTAGAGATGCTATCCCTGGTCCAGCTCGACCACCTCATTTTGGAGATAGGGCGACTGCTGCACGGGGATGGGAAGGGACTTCCCAAAGATCACACAGGAGTTGGTGGCAGAGCAGGATGTGCAGGTGTCCTGCCTCCCACCCAATGCACTTCTAGGTGCTTGAAACAAAGAGTCTGATTGTCTGGGCTGGGTCACTAGGGCCAGGAGACTGGGGGCAGTGTGCCCAGTGTCCAGGCCCCTGAGAAGGTCCAATCAGGAGGTAACGAGGGCTTGAACCTGTGACAGAGATGGTGGGGATGGAGGGTGGGGACGGTAGGAGGCATGTGGCAGGAGGTGACCCTGGTCAGACCCATGAGCTGGCCAGACAGCCTGCAGAAGTGCCCCCTGGCCGCCTGTGGCGTGTGTTTGTGGTCACTGTGTCCCTCTGTTCTGGGGGCTGGCATGGGGAGGGGGTGCGGGCTGTGGGTGCCAGGGACAGTGGAGCCCGTGCCAAGGGCATCTTTTTGATGGCAAATTGGAGGGAAGTTCTATTATGCTACTTTGGAGCTGAAAAAAGGGTTCCTTTTCACACTCCGAATGCTACAGATTTTTCTTCCTGGAGAGAACAAGGGCTGAACTTTTAACCTGTTTTCTCTCATCGGCCTCAGCCAGAGACACGCCAAGCCGGGCTCTCTGCCTGGGCCCGAGGAACAGCTGCTGGGAGCCGTGTGGGACGAGGGAGAGGAGAGACTCTGCTTGGGACGAGGACGGGCCAGCACCCGCGGGGGAGGCAAGCACGCCAGGCAGGTGGCCCCACCCCTTGGCTAGATTCCTGGGTTGACATAGAGGCCAAGCGCTAGAGAGGATTCCACGCTCAGAGCAGGAGGGGCTGGAAACTAACATCGGTAAAACTCGGGCCCAGGGAGGGCAAGTGACTCGCCAAAAGTCACACACAAAGAGCTGGGGCTCAGACCCGGGGCTCCCAAAAGCTCAAGCCTGGGAGTTCCAGCGCCCCCTAACTGAGAGCCGCCCACCACTCCCTGCCTAGGGAATGGCGATGGGAGGAGCTCGGAGGGACTGGGAGTAAATTGGCTGGCAGGGTCACAGACAAGGAAGAGGCGGGAACTGAGGGTTGCAGCCCCCTCGGGAGGAGGCGGGAGGTAGGTGCCTCCTGCGCTTCTGTCTCCTGGACCCGACCTGGCATCGCCTGGGAGCCTGGCTCTGAGATCGTGGTCGCCCCTCTGGGCTGTGTCAGGAGGCAGCACCTGGGTGCTCTCTCCCCTCCCCCAACTTGCCCTTAGCTTCTTGCTTTTGTTTTTTTTTTTGAGTCAGGGTCTCACTCTGTTGCCCAGCTGGAGTGCAGTGGCACCATCGCAGCTCACCTCAGCCTCAACCTTCTGGGGCGTGGCCCACCACATCCGAATAATTTTTTTTTTCTTATTTTTGGTAGAGATGAAGTCTCACTATGTTGCCCAGGTCTCAAACTCCTGATCCCAAGTGATCCTTCCGCCGCCTCGGCCTCCCGAAGTATTGAGATTACTGGCACGAGCCACTGCGCCCAGACAGCCGCCTCTACTACCTCTACACAAAAGGCAGGGAAGCAAAAAGGAAGACCGAGCTCTGGAGGTCCGAGAGACCCGTATTCTAACACTGGTTCTGTTCCCTTCTTGCCTGGTAGCCTTGGACCTTTCTAAGCTTCAGTTTCCTCACCTGGAAAATGGCTAACATCCCTTCCGAGAGTGGACAGGAGCACTAGGGAGAGGGGAAGTGCACCAGCTTGGGGCCAGCAAGTGGAGGCTATTCATATTTGAGGAGCGTGGTGCTTTCTGGCCACCCAGCGCCTGCACACACACCACTTCCTCCTTGGGACTCACTAGGTGGTCCCTGGAAGTGAAGGCGGGTCCAAGAGGCTCAGCTCCGTCTGCCCGGCCTCCCCCACACCCCAGGCCCGCATGCCAACATCTGACACACATCAGTGCCTCTCCGGCCGGCCACAGCCTCCAAGAGCCCTTCCCCGTCCGTGTGAGGCTGTTTTCCTGTGATGCCCTGAGCTGCCTCTTTGTTCCCCTCAAACCAAGCACAGAAGCCAGACTCCGTCCTGGGGAACCCGTTCAGTTCTTGCCTCGGGAGCTCAATGGGTTCAGGGAACCAGGCTCGACACCCATCACCAGCGCGTCCTCCTCCTCCCCACAATGCCCTGACACCTCCCCGTTCACCCCCAATGTCTACAGAGGGAGAGAACTCATGTCCACTGAGACCCTCCTGGGAGCAGACACTCTCACTGACATTCTCACAGCAATGCCAAGGGGCACTGGATACTGTCCCCTTTCACAGATGGGAAAACAACGGCTCCCAAAGGCCCAAGACCATGTCCAAGGTCACACGTCTATTCCATTCCCAAGCGCGCCCCAGCTGCACGGCCTGTGCGGTGCTCTCTCTCACTGCTGGGCCTCACACCTCCTGTTCCTTCTGACCGCCTCCACTCCACACCTTCTCTGCCTGCCCTGATGCTCCTCAGCTGTGAAGTCTCAACTCAGGCCACCTCCTCTAGGAAGTCCTCCTGAATCCACACCACCCCACAGCTCGGCAGCTGCTGGTGTGCCCTGCTCGCTGCCCTCTCCCAGAGGTCTGTGGCCCCTGAGGGGTGGGTGCACAGGGCATGGCACACAGTAGGACTTGCACCCAGGCTAGTGTTCCACTCCATTGGGGCTGCTCAGGCTCGAGCCTTGCATGCAGACAACACGTCTGAGCTCAGCCGTCTCCACCTACCAACTGCCCAGTTATGAAGTGATAATTTTTCTTCCAGTTGACTCTCTTTCTTAAGTGCATTTTAAAGAGGAAAAGAGTAATCATTATTATTAATGGAAAACCAATATCACTTGCCATAAAAAGAAGGAAAATAAGCACAGGCTAGTACAATTAAAAATGTGCGTCTGCCAACTACCCGACACCACTCTCTTTCCCGCACTCTGGGGGCGGCCGGGCTCCTGGTCCCCATCCCCATCCCTCTCCCCACTGTGACGACGATCGTCCCTCATGCAGGGGAGCCGCTGTCACTGTACACCGATCATTAATCACCACATGTGGAACAAAGACCCCAACGGCATGCGCACGGTGTAATGTGGGTTCTGAGAACTGGATATGGAAGGAAGGGGAGAAAATTCAGGGATGGCTTCCTAGAGGAAGTGACGCTTGAATGGTGGCTTGAAGGATGAGATGGGAGTGGGAAGGGCATGCTCGGCAGAGGGAACGGCAGAGGCTGAGGCGAGGAGGTGAGCGGAGCGGAAGCGCGGGCTGCAGAGTGGAGGGTGAGTAGGGGTTGCCCACTGGAGGCCAGCAGCCCTTGACCCTCTGCTGGGCTGTGCCCATCTGCCAGCCTCCTTGCCGGCCTCGCTACTACCAGTGCCTCCATTCTGCCAACTCTGTCGCTTCCCCTGTCCCTGGGCCTGGGAGCTGAAGAGTCCCATTCCCAGGCTCGGCAGCTCTCAGCGTCCTCTTTTAAAAATCCCACTGGTAATCCCGC